GCTTAGAATCGTTTTTTCGTTAGCAATGGTTTATCGTTCCTTACAAATATATATCAAATTTCTCCTCTACTACCTTTCCGACTTCTCACTCATAACATGGCCGCAACCGTCCCCATTATTCTAGACCAGCTTTTTTTTTTTATATATAGTTATTGCTCAATGCTTATATATACTCTTATACTCTTGTTAAGACATTCAAGAACCATGTTCTATGGTGTAAATAAAATAAAATAATAATCGATTGGCAGGTATTCATATACTACAATATGAATGTCTTAAAATATTTTAATTAATTTTAGTTTGTTTACAATAGACGTATTTTTCTTGTTTTACTGCTTATTGATTCAAAACGTCTTCCGGCTATATTATTATTTCCCAGAAAGCAGTAACATTTATGAATGTAAACACAAAAATGTATCAAATATCGTGATTAAAATTGTAATCAGTCGTTATTCATTACTTTTTTGAATAGCCATAAACCATAACCAGAAATTGTGGTGTAAACAAAAATCCATAGTTGTTGAAAAATCCTGATAAATGATAATAATAATTTTAATAAAATATTATAATAATCTAATTGGTCTCTGGAAGAGTTTTAAAAGTTTTTTATTCAACTAATTTACAAATGATAACGTGCTCGTGATAAATATACATGATGAATTACTTAGCCCGTTATTACGAATTTTCTAATAGTATGACCATGAAGATACCTCTAACCTTCATTAGTATGACAAAAACTAACATAATTTTTACAGCAGAATTAACGAAGTATACATTTATTAGATTTAAACACGAGAAAAAAATCAATGGGAGAGGTTTAAACACCCCCCTCCCCACTGGTTACGCCACTAGGCATTTTTTTTTTGTAACGAAATAGCCGTAGCACGATTTTATACGTGAACCTATAATCAAACAACAAACGAAAGCCGTTAATTTTATTATTAGTTGATAATATATTATTATTTTGTTTGTAATTATAAATTAAAATATTAATTCTAATAGTATGGTCGTCAAAGCAGGACATTAACTGTCCAAAGTTAAAAAGTTAGAATTAAGTTTAAAAGTCACTTTTGTTATTAACTTAAACCATTAATCAAAATTAGTTTAGATTTGAAATAACTTTTTTTAACTGAACCATATGCTTCCCTTTCTTCGGGCTAGAATATCCGGAGACACCGTATATTATTTAACATACTTCGTGGAGGAAAAAATTCTCGCGCCTCGTAGAATAGTTAGATTTTTGATGTTTTTTTTCTTTCGAAACAAGAGGACTTTATGTTAGACCGATTGAACACTGATTTCAGAAAATCAAAGTTTTAGAAACTACATTCAGTGTCTAAAAAGTTCCAATTTTTTTGAAAACAAATTTTTAATCATTTCCCAGACTTACTGATATTAATCAAAATTCAATGTGAACTTTCAAATGTTTTGCTCTTTCAAATCGAAATATATTGAAATTGAAGCGTTTCACGAGACGCGAAAGTTTTTTTCGCAAAATCATTACTTCTGTCCCTAAATGGATATTGGGCTATAAATCAATATATAAGTTTTATCATTAAAATGGTCATTAAAATTTTAAAAACAATTTTCACATTTTAGAGTATTTGAGAAAATCTAGACCACTTTTCAGCTTATTATATAATATGTAAATTTTAAAGGAAATTTGTAAGGTTTTTGAGAAATAAGCTTGCCTAGTCCCTCAATCTTCACCTATAGTTCTCTAACAAGATTTTTTTAAAATTTCACCCTCATTCTTTAACTTAAAATCGCGTCTACTCGACAAGGAATTTATTTGGGAATAAATAACCCCCCCCCTCCTGCACCCTTTTTGTGCCAGTGAGTCCGTATACACTCACAGCAATATAGGAGAAAAAAATCACGAATGATTACAAAAATTCAAACAAACCACAATTATATAATATTATAAATGTATTTATTTACAGCGGACGGGTTACCAAACTAGTACCTGCCTACAGACATTTCGACAATGTATACGAAACGATAGCGATAGAACATATAGGTAGTATAGTATGAATGATAAAGAACACAATATAATAAAAAAAGACAATGAAAATACAATAAAACCAGACTTTCGTTAAAATAATATAATCCGCACGCGATCTAATAGAAGATAAGTATCGAAAGTAAAAACCGCATGCGCGTATTCAAACTTAAAACGTCAAACAGTCCTTGCTACAGTAATAATGTTAATAAGTTTGATAAAGATATACGTATATTATTATACTGCTCCGGTACAACAGAACGATAAAACGATTATGGCCTAGACACACTACTTCTTCGAGATGTGATTGGGTTCACAAAAAAAAAAAAAATTCCTTTTTTTTAAATCTTTTTTATAATACGACTCGAGCGACATTGTGATATGCATGTGGTCCGGTTACGTAACTATTTACGCACATTGTGCAATTTAGGCGTCCGGTCCAGGAAAAGCTGTACACGTTCTATATCTGCACACGAAATAATTTTGTAATAATACTAAAATGTGTAAAAAAACATATTCAAATTTATTTTTTCCGTCAGTTTTATTATAACAGGGAAGAAAATCTAAATAATAATATATCTAATATAAACTAATGGACTAATAATTTATGAACAATTTTTAGATGTATTTATATGTTTTTATAATTTGTTGGTATGTACACAAACTTTTTTTAAATAACATCATCGAGTTTTATTTCTTTAGGAAATTATTGTTTTGAGATTTGAAAAGTTTTGATTTTTTTCGACCGGAAGCATGTATAGAAAATAATGGATAAAATTTTAAACACCTTATAAGATGAATTATTAAATATAAATAAAACAATATGTTACAAAGTAGTTAAAATTTTATTTCACATTTCCAAATCCATAAAAAAATCACTCTATGCATGTGTTTTTTTTAAATTCCAAAAAGCTGTTAAGGTTAAAAAAACTTAAAATTATCTCAAATCGTATACTCCTTATCACATCCTGAAAACCCCATTTCGATCTAAGATCATCGGGCTGAGATATTTAATGGTCCATTATAAGACGGGCCGCACACTGTAAAATATATTATATAGTTAAAAAAAAAATACGTATATATATGTATTATATAATAGGTATAATATTATAATACCCGTGTACCGTAAATTTTACTGTCTTAACGTGATTTGTTTAACTTATTACCTTTCTTTTTTCGAAGAACTTATCGTAAACTTCACTCATAATCGTATTTCGTAAGCAATGATTTATCGTTGCGCACATAAATTGTGATATAAATTAAATAAAACTTTATGTATCTTATGTCTACTGGACTTCCCACCAACAACAAAGGCACGATCATCAGAAGTATCGGCTCGGTTTTTTCCCCGTTGGTTCTTCTCCGTACGTTTATTAAAATTATAACTTGTAAAAGCGTAGTATAAGACGACAATAGGATTCACGATTATTCAATAAACCAATCTTTTCGGTTATTTGCTCGTTATAATAATAGACGATGAGAAAAAAAAATTAACAGCCCTACGCTTTTTTTTTTTTTTTTACAGCAAGTCGATACACCCATTCTTTGCAGGCTGAAAACAGAAAAAACAAATGTTAATGCAGCATTTAATTTAAACTAATATTATATAGTTTGGCAAATCGGTTCAAAAAGGGATGAGTTTGGTTGGAGACCCCTGAATACATCCCACTGATGTGTTTTTAAGTCCAACGCTTTGTTAGAACCAAATATAGACAGGTAGTTGTATAACACGAAATGAAATGTTAATATTTTACAGAAGAGTCCAGAATAATATTTCAATGATTATTATATCCCACGACCCATTCTTATCTTTGTACGCATTACGAATTTCTAAAAACAGAAAATATTACTCGGAATTTTACTAAAATTGGCGATCAAGAAAACAACAAATAATATATGGAATCAAGAAAATTTGCCTTCGCAAAAATTAAACGTTAAGTACACAGAAATAGTAAATTATTACGTTAAAAGCTAATTATGTATAAACAAGTAGCTCGTTAATTATTTTACTTTAAGTTTAATTTAATTTAATTGTTTTTTAACTTGTTGGGCGTTAGCGCCAAGCCGAATTTCAATGAAATTGAATTTCGAATTTAAATTATACGTTATTATACATATTCCAGTGACTTATGCAACAATAATGCACCTCTCAAATGCGACGTGTAAGTAAATGAAATTCAACCGAAACTATATTATGTGTTTTATATACATGAATTTAGTGTCAATTAAGTTAAGCCACTGAAAAATTCATTGTATCAGTGTGCATAATATGTTAAATCACATTTTATTTCATTTCATTTTTTCGAAATTAATAATAGAAAAAACCAGTGAAATTTTGAACATTGAAATATAAAAATTATGTTAAACAATAATATGCATAATAACACGTAGAATCTTACAGTACTTAAATAACGGCAAAATGTTAGTAAATGCTGATCTTTCGTGATCGGTTATAGTTTTTTTTTTTCGGCCAATACCGAAAAGTTCTGAAACATTGACTAAACGCCTTTTTCACGAGCTAAATATCATACTTAGATATGAGAATAATACATCGATAAATTAAAAATTGATTTGTTTTTTTCTTTTTTTTTTTTTTTGAACCCAAGTACACGCTATACTGTGTCGTTATTATGTCACGATTTCAGAATTCAATAAAGCCGCCTCCTTGACAAAATACGTCACCGTACGTACGCACAGTAATATTCAATTAAAATTTAATTTTTTTTTTATTTTTTTTTTTTTTCCTATAACACGTATTTTTACTCAATTAACCGTCGTCGGGACACAACGTGTAATTATTATGATATTTCGCAGCGGCGGCGGAGTGCCGTCGAATGTTTATTGGTTTATGTATCATTACATTATCATTATTATTATTATTATTATTATGTACACGACGGATAACTAGATTCCCACTTTCTCCCAAAAAAATGATAACCATTAACCGCGACCGTACTACTCTGCCGGCGGTAGAGCCTTATAAATTAACAGTCGCCGATAGACGGCCGTTCATTCGCTTATTCGCTATCTGCAGGACACGTGTAAACAGAAAAAAAAAAAAACATAAATAAATAAAAAAACTTCACGCGCACCCGACCGCAACCATGTCGACCTGTACCGCGATAATCCGTGAGTAATAATAATACACACCTGTCTAAATAAATTCGCTTTTGATTTTTTCGAACTCAAAACCGTAACACTCGAATATATTCGGAAAAAAAAAATACAAATACAAATACAAATATGACCATAATAATATAATGCGCCCGTCCGCATAACATTATAATCGGTCTTGTGTTGTAGTATTTCAATTTTTTTTTTTTTCGATATAATATTGATAATATATTTTGAAATTGGTTTTTTTTTTTTTTCATTTTTTTGTCCGTGTTTTACAATAATTTTGTATTTTACGATTGTTAATTGTTCGCTTCTAAAACCATAATGTTTTTTTTTTTTTTTTTTAACGGCTCTGTAAGAATTTTCTATTAGGATTTTGCAAAACGAATCGTTATAACTCAATAACTCTTTACACCAATAACGTGAACCTAATAAGCTCTTTTACGATTAAATAATATTACGCCAACATGCCATATCTGAAATTCTCGAATCTAATTCGTTTAAAAATCCATGAATATTTAATATTGTTGGGTTTATTTGTACCCGATTTGTCGAATCTATTAAAATGTATTATTGGACAAAAAAATACTAATTATTTCCAATTTTTCCTTAAAATATTTTCTTAACAATATTATTTGAGTATTTATTTTCAAATACTTTTAAAAGATATCTTTCGTGTACAATATTCACACGAGTAAAAACGTGTTCCGCGAAGACAATATTTCAAAAAGTATTTTTAACGAGACCGAATATTTATAATTAAAAAAAAAAAAAATGTCATTTATTATTATTTATTTTTTATACGATGTGTTTTTTTCCCGCATACAGTGATATCGTGTTTGGTAGCGTCAGCGACGGCTCTACAAAAACTCACCGAACTGTACAGATGGTCGGCGTTGGACTACACGTTTTCCAGTGACGAGCACAAAAACTACGCGCTCGAACGAGGCGAATTCGTGCCGGAAAACAACTTGCCCGTCGGAATCGAAGTGTGGAAAAACAAATTGTTCATTACCGTGCCGCGATGGGCCAACGGTAAATACTTTCAATATTGCATTAATTGTTCGGCTAGGTACCAATGTTTTTTCTAACGGATTATATTTAAATCGGATCTCGCATACGTACCCGTAGATTATCGTAGAAAAATTGATTTTTTTTTTTTTTTTTTTTATTACTATTTAATCAACAGTCAATTATTCCGTTCGGCTTTGACGGACATTTTTTTGTTTAGCTGTTCCATACGAGAGTTCTACTGTGATTTAAAGTCGATCGCTATAAATATAACTAAGGAAAGTATACGCATTATAGACCGAGTAACGTCTAATGCGATAAGAATGTAGGATTTCAGTAAATTCTTCTTTTACCAGACGGATTATTTCAGAAAATCCGAAATTTTCCAAGTGAAAATAATGAAGTTTCCCGATTCCTCCCCCCCCCCCTCAAAACATTATGTTTATTTAAACCGACTTTTAAACTGTCGATACGCAGTAATTTTAAGGACTTAACGATATCACGTAATATAAGTGTATTTTTTAAAGCAGAAATTTCGTAATAATAATCGTAACACGGTTCTAATATAATATTAATATTTACGTCGAATCATCGGTTTCGCCCATCACGACTCGATAAATGAGATTTTAGACCCTAAGTAGAGTATTACGAGCTGAGTAACAGGTATTCGTATTTTGCTGCTACGACGGGTGTTTGTCGGTATTTTTCTTTGGGGTGAATGCGTGTTAATAATAAATTTTCACTCGTTTGTATAGTAGCTCGTCGGGTTTTTTTTTTATTTTACGTAAGAATATACTTGAAAATAAGAACGCTGCGAGAGCGTTTTAAAAAATACAATGTCAATTTTTGTACAGATATTTTTGTTAGCAAATTATCGAAAAGTTCGAAAAAAAAATTCTACGAAGTCTTACACGTGGTATACGTATTTCTATATAATTTATGAAATCGAATTTGTGTTATTTTATTATAGTTTCAGTTTATTTAGAATAAATTACCGCGCGATACCATCTGGGATTTCTAAAAACTTCTCGGATTACTATTATACTGAATTTAAATTTTTTCTCGGATACCATATCGTTTAATTTGCAAACACCGTTATTGTTGTTGATCGATTATAATGGCTATGTATATTGTATAACCTCATTTTAATTTAAAATTTTGGCGACAATTTACACACATTAAACAACATATTATTTTGTGTTACAATAATCGTTGAACTTTTTTTTCCAACTCATTACATGGGCTGAACTCGTATTCAAAACACGTCCTCGTAGACATAAAATAACATGAATATAATATATGTATATAGTTTAGTCGCGACTAAACTTTTGCATTCATCCTACTATTTTGGCTAATATAACCTGATTCAAGTCTCATATCGATGATGATATTTTATAATGAATTTTTCGTTTTTCATATTGTTTACGCAAGATTTATGTTGTTGATCATTTTTCGTAAAATTTCTAACTTAATTGCAGGTCAATTTTCAAAAATTTAAGATTCAAAAGAAAATTAAAAAACATTATTTTTTTTTAATTGCCAGAGGCAATATTGTAATTGATTTCGTGTTTATTTTTTCCACTTCTTTTCAATATAATGCAATTTATTTACTCATAATAACTTACATAAACAATATAAATATAAATACGAATATTTTTGGAACTTCGTTACGAACCGTATGAACTTTTTTTCGCCATGGTACTCCAGCACATAATTTATTAAAAATAAATTTGATTCATATTCAATACAGAGTTTAAACATGACATTTGGTAATGCGTTTTCTTACGATTTTCAATAATAAATTAATTTTTAATAACATTTTCATAATTATTTAAAAACATTTTTTTTAATCATGTTAATCGAATTGTTGTTAATCATTTTTTTAATGCATTTACTGTACGTTGCTTAGCTCTAATTATTGTTAAATATATTTACTCAATTATGGATACAGAGAAAAAAACGTTCTTGCAATTTAAATTTCATCAGTCTACTCGAATAAAATGAAACAAAAGAAATTGCGTATGTTCCAGTAGTCCGTTTAGTGTGTTAACGTGTTTGCGCAAGAAATAGGGGATAATAAAAAAAAAAAATAATAATAATATTATATTATAGCGATCATATAACGATTATTAATATTGTTACGTCCTAAAAACTGCGGTTTGTACGATACTATTATAACCATAGCAACGAACGGTGGGGACGGACAGATATAATGACCGAGTCACGGATAATAGACAATATGGGCGTGTACCAATAACATTATAGGCCGAATATAAAAATAAATAAGTAAAACAAAAAACCGTTTTCTATAGGTAGTCGAAATCAGGGGAGGACTGGGACTAAAAAAAGGTCACCGGGATCCAGATTTAACGTGGCCACATCTGTATATTGTTTGCATACGAAATATTTGTATACATAATTATACATTACTATTATCATGGAAAAATTAGTATGCCAGTGTTATACCTGTAATTATGTATCACTATTTTATATTTTGTTGACTGCGAATTCGAATCACTCTAAATAATATTACGGCATTCCGTTTTCTTTTCGTTTCAACCGACGCGGTTCGATTCTCGGCAGTTGGTACCGAAACGGAGTAGACCCACGGCGGGGTTGATTTTCGCTGTACAGTAAAATTATCTATTGTAAAATTGATAGAGAATAATATGCCAAAGGTCAAGAAGTTATGATTTTTTAAGAAAAAAATATTTTTTTCAAAAGTTTGAGTGAATTAAAATGTGTCGAAAAAGTCGTTATTGATAAACGGCAAATTGACTGTTTATATTCAAAGAAAATGAAGACAAATGGAACATCTTGCCCTCCGCAATATTATTCTTTATCAATTTCATAGCAAGTGCTTTTACTTTAAAACCAAAACCAAGCGAGTTCTGTGTAGTCTATACCGTGCATTTGCAAGGCGCAAATAATAAATGCTTGTGTAGCGTCCTTTTAACCTATCGTTGGTAAACACGTGAGTGCTTACACAGTTGGCATTTTAGAAAAACCACGAGTAACGGTAGCTAGAAAAACGTTTCTCCTATATTGCGCCTTAACTAAAATCATGTGAATTCTTGCAAATTGCATGATAAATATTGGAATAAAAAAAAAATTGAAAATTTACAAATGTGTAAAACCGCTTTTTACCAAGTGCCGGAAAGTGTCGTGTAAACGTCAGATCGTGTCGTGCTAATTCGTGCTAATTAGATGCTACTTAAATAATGGCGTAAAAATATAATTTAAATTTTCGAATAAGAAGACTGGTACGTAAAAAAAAATTTAAAAACTCCCGAGTAGATTTGAAGATTTACCTATACGTGGTTTTTTTTATTTTTACGCATTTTAAAGCTGTCCTCCGACTAGGGACGCCGGGGTGGGGTGGGCGAAATGTAATTCAAAGCAACCGTTTTGAGTGTAGTCAAAAGGCGAGTTGATCGGCGGCGTGCGTGCGCGCGGAGAGGATATATACGTACGTAAATATAGAGAGGATCCTCTTCGACTATTGTTATTTTATTGCAGCCCGAGCGAATTTCCCTAGAGTGAAATGTAAATGCACACATACGCCGCCAGAGGAGAAGAAGTGTCCTCTTTTACTTATTGTATACATGTATAAATTGTATACATATATACCTCACCTTATCCTTAAAAACCGTCATACAGCTAGCTATAGCGGGTCTCTCCGGAGCCATCGCGAAATATAAAAAGAAACGTTTAAAAATTTCGTTATCTATAGTATTATTATATACGTATACCTAATAGTAATGTATCTACCCCTCCTCCCCGCCCACCACCCGAGGTAAAATTTCGACATTTTCAAAACATATACACAGAACGGATATATTGTGATATATTTGCATATAATAATGTGAAAAATTAAGTAAAGCGTATAATATAGCAATAGAGTTATTATACTCGTAAATGATGTTTAATCCCGATTTTCGAAAAAATCGCAAATAAAAAAAAAAAAAAGAGCCGATACTATTGACGGGTGTGCCATTGTTACAGGCGGGAAGTTGGAGAGGTAGGATACCTTGAGGACCCTAAATAAAAAATATTCGATTTCCCGATACAAATATCCTTGACGGTTATATTTAAAATAAAATACCGATAGAAATATTTTCGTGAAAGAATGTATTTAAAATACCTATTAGAATATAATATATTTGTATTTAAATACTCATACTCGCATATCTCAAATATTATTTAATGTACACCTACTTAGAAATATTTAAATTTAAAAAATAAATAAATACAAAATTGAATGTATTATATCGTTTGCGAAAACCATTTATATAGAAATCGGCTAGTGTATAGCGTGTGATTCGGCAGAGAAGAGAGAGAGAAATTGAAAAATATATTCGAACCCCTATTACGTATAATACGAGAGTATAATGTATATACAGGGCAGTCGTCGATTTTTCAGTACTTGTTAATGATACGTTATCAATCGTTTGCCGACCATATGGCTATCTATGGCTATGTATGGGTTTTTAAAATATCGTGTTTTGCTTATATCGTAAAATATTAATCGGTCCAAAGCGGCGCGTGCGTATACGCGATCGTTACAACAGTGTTGAATAATAATAACGAAATAATAACAATTGTGTAACTTATGGTCAAATGTGTTTTTCGTTCAAATAAAACTGTTACGAATAATATGTATCGGTATTACGTGTAGCATGGTAACAAATAAATCGCACGTCAAAGTAATATGTCGACTCATGCGGCATTCTCGATTAATTGTTATTGAAAAATTAAAGAAAAAAAAAAAAAAACAAACAAACAAAACCTGATACTGCTGATGACCGATGTGTGGCTGATTCGGGTGAAAAGTTTATAGCGTATAGGGTAAATTAATATTTTATTATACATTTGAAATTTATTTTGCTCGAAAATCGTCGGAATATTTTGAAAATTGTACAACGTCAACAATGAGCTTAATAAAATTATCCTATAGAAATTTCAGGTTTCTACGAATACGATAGTCTACTGGTTACAATTAAAACACAAATTTGAAAATAACAAACTCCGTTGGGTGTACGTACATTTTTCCGGTTTTCCCACGTTATTATGGAAACTACAAGGAAAATTAACAAAATCAAATCATCAGCTCACCAACTACACATAATTTGCTACGTTAACGTTCCTATGTCGGATTTTGTATGGAGCAAGATTTCTGGTAGAAAATTTATTATAACGGCACACACAAAACGAATTCAAAAACGACACACACCATAATAGTTATACGAATACATTACTCGCTTCGCCCAAAAACTAAATTTGTACAAGTTTTTGTAGTCGGACCGTTTTAGAATTGACTACTGATGCTGGTTTTTTTTTTTTCTATTGTTGAACCATTTTTCAAATGTTCCCCGCAACGAATAACCGTCTTTCTGTAACCGAAAACCAAAAAAAAAGCAAAAAAATGGAATTCTGTATTCGTTTTGAAAAATATTGATCATTAGCTATAGCTGATTGCATTAACCCTATTGCATTTTTTCCTGCACGTTCTGAGTTGAACCTAAAAATCACGTGTGTTTGTCTTTATCGATTTTCACGTCTTTGTGCGTGTAGTTTTCCTACATTAATTTAGGAGCGTTAAAAACTCGTTTTTTCATATTAAATTTTACCTAGTTAGAAAACAAAAACTTTTAATCACACGGTTTTATTTACGGAAAATCGCGTTTTAAACCGTTTTCGATAACTTTTTTTAATGATATTCCTTAAAACATTGTTTGAAATTATGCATAGACGCGTAGTAATACATATGTTCATAAGATATGTAAGATACGGAAAATGAAATAACTTTTTAATAAATTCCGGACGCTCGTAAAATGATTGTACATATTTTAACGGCATTATAGTTCGATATAAAATTATTTTACGAAGAGAAATTAATTTCGCCATTTCTGTTTTCCGACTCCGAATAATATAACATACTAATATAAGTTCTGTACGTTATACCGAACGAATATTATAGTACCGTGTCGGAAAACGGGCGACGGTTACGGCGGTATAAGCGAGCACGTCTTCCGGTGCGGTACCCATGCAGACGAACCGAAATTTTGTGAAACGGCACAGTCGCTAAAGAAAAAGAGGAAAAAAAACCGCTAAATATTTCATTGAATTCCAAACCGTAAAAAAGTCGCGGGACAAAAAAAAAAAAAGAAACGCGACACATCACATAATAATATAACCTCGCGATAAACAAGTACGTTTTATTTTTATCGATATTTCGAGTGATGCGGCCCGGTGCCCGTGGTGCATATACCTATATATTATGTCCTATACGTAGCTACTATGCCATTTGTTTTGCGTCTACGATAATATGTTGGGGAGGGGGCGGGGAGGTCGAGTGTTCGAATGCCGCACATACGAAAGATCGTATCTGTTCGAAATCGCACGGGCACTGTCGTAAAACGCGCGATAGTCGACGAATAATTGACGAGACGGTTCCGAAAAATTCCGAACGAACCCTACGAATACCTATACGTACTAAAGAGCGAGTTGTTCGAGGCCACGAACAATTACATTGAAAAAAAAAAACTACAAATGCGATGAGATATACATCATTATAGTTTTAATAGACTAAAAAAATCCACACTAAAAAATATTATTAATTTTTTTTTTTCGTCTTTTATTATTAACACGTTCGATATACATTATCGTACGGACGGTATTTCGTACAAAAGCGGAATCGTATGCACGAGAGAATAGGTGTTTGGAGAGGGGGTCGAATACCCACTCCAATTGCCTATTTTTTATGTAAACCATTACACGCACACGCAAATTTATATATAGCTTTTAAAATGAAAAAAAAAACCACCTCGCAATAAAACTGTTAGCCACTGATTAACTCCCACTCCGCAAAAGTTAAGTACGCAACTGCAGTACACGTCTCGACGTTCAAAGTTTCGAACAAACGGCATTCGAACTCGTGATTTTCGAACGCACGACAAGTTACACCTATAGTGTACTATGTATATATGCGTAGGTAAGCGAAATCCAAAATCTAGCGGCACAAAACAATATGCGCGAAACTTCTCGCAATGACATACGCGCAAACCTGCCGAGGTCGAATTTAACAACGAATATGAAAAGGATAGGTATACAATTTAAAAAAAAAAAAAAAATCCGATTACGGGTTCGCATAACTGCAGAATAATTTTATGATATTATACGCTGTAATTTCTTCGACGACCTCGCGTGACCTCTCCGCGAAGATCAATTATTATATTATTATACGTCATTTTTTCTCTGTGCCTTGACTTACTTGTACAATATTATTATTGTAATGCCGCACACCGGACACTCGACGCGATAAAGATAAAGAGATCTACACAACAACTGTAATAATATAGTAATATAGACGTACTTCAGACGTGATAGTAAAGAAACTAATAACAATAATAATAATAACGGGGGTTTCAATGTTTCGGTTGTGGAAAAAAAAATATTAAAATCAAATCTAGAATATCTACGATTGCACAACGCACGATATTCGTCAGCAGTATCGCGAACGCGAATCCACGCAGTTACCTATGTATACATAGTTATTTTTATTTTTTCGTCATAAACCTAATATTTTTATTATAATGTTGGCCTTGGACCGGGTTTTTTTTTTTTTTTTTTTTTTAATAAGTGCGTACGACGACATGATGTCTGGATTGGAAATATCGTTGCCGGGCGTTAATAACCACTCTGACCGGGTATCATATTATATTATTATGATTGCATATTTTTACTAATACACCAATAATCGCGTGTTATGTAGACCGTATATTGAAACAGTTTAAACCGAATTAGGAGTTTTACTGGAATACGAGTAGGTATCTCACACGTCACCGGACGTTACCTCATCGCCTATATCGACTATTTAAAATGTGTATTCTTATATTTTAATACGTACAAACTTGCACAATGACGCATACATTTCGCTGAAATTATGATTTATAATACACCTAATGTATTCATACTTAGTTATTTATTATTTATTTAACATCTGAATTCGACCGATACATATATAGATACGCGTTAAGACATTTCCGATTTTTATAACACAGTTACATTGAATCGAGTTAATTTAGGAGAAGGAGGAACGAATTATGAAACACATACTACTTAATTTGTACAATTAACTAGGTTGCACGGTGATAATACGTGAAGTTTTCAATCAGCTTTCAGTAGGTCTTGATTTGTGGCCCGTCGCCCTTATCGTTCAATTTTATATTAATATGATAACTGTATTTTCTGGTCTTGGTCACGGCAATTATAACGGTAAAAAGATAGACACAACGGTGGCTGATAAAAATAGTTGATAACATCCACGGCCTGATAAAAAAAAAAAAGGTGGTTGTTGTGGTGGATTCAAACAAATCTACTGGCAAATATGTCTGAATCGAATAATATGTGTTAACCTAATCTAAAACCCGCAGTGTAGGGACAATTTTCGGATCCTGAAGTTCAATATCATTTTGACTGATTGATTCATTGATCACTGTTTTCAAATTTTTTTAGAAATTTATAAACATGACATTTTACTATTCGATGAGAATACAGAATCATCGTGAATTATATGGTGAAATCTCTCTTCGTTGCGTTTCACACTCGTATAAATATACGAGTTACGTATATACGTATAATATTTTACGGTTACGACGATTTTACCCTCTAGGTTTCAATGAGTTATATCGCACCAGATTTTGTTGCATCTTTTTTTCTCTACCATACTATCTACCTACACTTACATCATCGGTAAACGAAACGAGAAAAGTATCGTCAAATAATTAAATATAATGACGCATCGTAAAAATGAAAAACATCACGTTACCCACCGACTATGAGGTTCGCTCTATACTCGCGTTAAACCAGTTTCGCATTGTTGTATGTCATATTACCTACGCGTTCAAAAGGAATGATAAATTATATCATCGCAATCGAAAAAACGATTCCGAACCGAAACTCGTTTCACTATAAATGTTCGTTAATGGAGTGTTTCGGATTTAAAAAAATATACCTGCATTACCTAACAAATACGATACTATTACAATAATCGCATAATACGATTTAACGAAGAAAAATAATGACGTAGGTAATAATACGATTCGTTTTACCGAATAACCTTTCCATAACCGAAAAAAATTAAAAATTCACGTTTCGAATTCCGTTCTCGTGTTTTCTGATTTCATAAATAATTATTATCTCTAGAGCTTATTGGAAAAATAATTAATTACTTATGCGGGTAATCGATGATAAAAATATTGTTCTGGAACTAAAAAAAAAGTTATATATATATAGATTCCGAGCAAAATAAAAATGTTGGTTTTGCGATTTTGCGTTTTAAGAAAAAAAAAATTATAATAATTTGTTCACGTTTGTGTTGCCTGCACACTTTCCCATCATATACCTATAATAGGTGCCAAGAAAAGATGCGGATTTTCACCCTAAAGGTGTTTTACGTGAATAGATTTGTCCATAGATTCCCGATACTTGTTCTACGGAAGATTATAAAATTCTATTATTATAATGTAAAATGCATACTACAATTATACGATTTTTGAGATTTGCGATTTTCGTGGCACACTATTATAATTATCTGTCAAAAAATACACTTTGCCAAAGAACATAATAATTATAATTTTCCGAGCATTATCATTCTTGAATAACTGCTATACTGCAGACAAACAAATCGCGGACAACACCACGGAATAATATCCTCAAAAAATGCTGAAATTAAAAACGAAAACAAAATCCTGACAAGAAAAGAGTTTACATTATATACATTATAATATAGTTTTCAAAAGAATTCCAATTACAAAACATCAAAATGCAGTAATGGTGTCAAAACTGCAGTGGAAAAGGTGTGTTGCGATAGTTCTCGCGCGTGGCGTTAAAAAAGAAACAATAATCTAAAAAGTAAAAAAGTATAAGATTTGAAACGAACAAAAACGTCGTGCCCGACTTAAAGCGCTGACAATTATTATGTTTATTTCGGAAGATATAATATTATACTTGGGACAAAATAACATTTTCACATCGTCGCCGTTCGTATATTTTAAAAATTTTTGAATTTCCAGAAGAAATTTCCAAAAAAAAAAACTTAACTAATATAAACAAGGATTTATAGATCAACATTGCCAATACTGTATTTCTAGTACTCCTAAAAATACATTTGCATAAAATTATCAAGAAACGTTTCCAATTTTTACATAGATAGTAAATATGGCGTAAGTAATCACAATTTCCTCCCTCACACTTAAGTTCGGATTAACACATTTGGAGGCTCCATAGCAAAACTTTTCAACGAGACCCTCGACGAGAATAATAAAAACTAAATTGTTTAAAATGAAAACAATACATAATATAATTTAGTAGTTTCCACTAAAGGTCATCAACGAAATCATATTATAAGCAATGAAATATCAAAAAAATACAAAGTCACTGATTAAATGCGTGGATAAAGAACATAATATACTGTGACAGAAACTAAGGCCCCTGGAATTTCATGGCCCGGAAACCATGGCCCCCTGGATCCCTCTTCCCATAATCTGGGCTTGTGCTCACTCAATATTTGGGATTCACAAGTCGTGTGGGGGGAGGAGCTTCATCAGTCGACCTCCCCGCAGTACTATACTTTTAATAGTTTTAATTAAACCGTAAATAAAATATTATGGAATATAAAATTATTACCAAACTGGGCTGCTAAAGTTTTATTAAAGAAATAATTGACTATAGACTTATACTTATAACCATTTGGTTATATAATATGTATATAGTCATAATCATTTTCATAAATCGTCTATTGAAGCCTCGGAATTAAATTTGTGCACTAAATAGAAATTATGAACATAAAATATAAACTATAAACTACCCACAGTCAAAACGGGCCGAATAAAGTATAGTTTATTGTTTATCGAATTTGAAATCAAAACAGCAAATAACATATCGGAATATAATATATCAGCGCTTAGAAAGTTCATTTTAAAAAGGAATTAGTTCACTTTCACGGTCATCTTGTTTAAATGTAACTAATTCCAGGCTCGTTCTAGGATTGAAGAAAAAATCTAGCTGCTAGTTCCTCGCTCCTAACTAAGGAACATTTTTCGATTCTAAAATAATTCTTGAAAAATGAACGCAATCATTGGAACGAGTTCCTTAAAATACATTCCTTTCAAGCGCTAGGATTATGTTAAACATTTTTAACCGTGAATATAAAAATATTATGTACCTATACTGTCGATCGTAAAAATAAATATTAGTACACAGATACTATAGTTGTTTATTGACAGTAAAACCTGGCGTTTCGTCCACAATAATATTCCAATATTAAGTGTTTTTTAAATGAAAAACATTTTCGAAATACGAACTGTAAACTATTCGGATCTAAATTCTGTTGAATTAGAATTTATGTGGCGGCTAATTGTTCCGAAATAAGAGGGCTATCTGTGATAATATCAATACCGTACATGATTATATCGTGATGTACCGAACATGCGCACTAGCGCACTTTTTTCGACGCACGAATGAACATTTTAAACGATAAAACACAATATGGCCATATTATGATTTAAATAAGTGACGAGAGTGCTTTTCGCGGTAAACGTCAATAGCGCTACAGTCGAATAATTAGATCCCGATATAATATGCATACCATACGGTATGTTTTTTCACGTTATAGGTAAGGTACGGTAAAAATGTCTTAAAAGGTTTTGTATTGAAATTATAAAATTAATTCGTGTACTTAATAATAATATTACTTATCCCGAAAAAATTACCGTCAAATACGCAGTGTTTTTTTTTTCTGTTGTTGTTGAGACAATAATCATAATAATATTATACCATACCAAAGAGTGAGTAGGTTTTTCTCGTGGCTTTTCGTCCCATCGTCGTCGCGGAAAACCGTCGCTCCGAAACTTTTGGCAGAGCCGCTAAAAATTACGAGCCGTCATTGTTCGCCGTTCGAGTTTTTACTTCCGAGGAGATAATTATTATTTCGCGTCCCGAGCTCTTTATATACGTACATAGTACATATACACAGATGTACAGCTAAACCAATACCTCTCTAACAAATGAAAAAAAAAAAAGAAGAAAAAAACATCAGCTCGGTCCCTTTGCAAACAATATTCTTATCTCCTTAAACTTATTCCTGTGTGGCGGTGACCTCGTGTCCGGGTATTTCTTTCTCTCTCCCGCAGCAATGCATTTTCACAATAATATAGTATGCAATTTTTTTCTCCCGTTTTATTACGCGTCTTATATTATTAGAATATTATAATAAGAAGACGACACGGTTTTATAATATTTTTCGTGTCTTACATTTTTTTTTTTTTTTCCTATTAATATTATACGAGTATATTTATACTCCGGGAGTAGGAAAAATTGTGAGACTATGGGTAAAGTAAAGTAGCTAAAGAGCTATTAGTTTCTATTTTTTCTTTTCCGGTTACCGTTTATAAGACTTATAAACAAGCTTGAAAGGAAAAAAATGGTTCATTACAGGCAATTTTTTTTTATGTATATGTATATATAAGTAGGTAATTATTGAACGCAATTTTCACTTCTGAGAAACTATTAATTCACCCGCCGTTTGATATACTGAAAAAATTGTATTGAGCTAAAAAAAAAAAAAATAATTACACATAAGTTGAATAAAATCGATGTAATCAATAAATTTATCAAAGTACTCGCATCTATGAAATTTGGACTAATTACCAGTATAATACATTCACGGAGATTGAAACACACACATACACACAGAGAAGCACAATGTCAGGAGTGCGCTATGATGACGTTACAAATTGGCAACACTTAATTTTATATTTTTCATTATTTCTGTTTGATATTAACGAATTGTCGACCAAAAATCGTGTTGCTAGAAGAACTACATAGAAAACTTTCTGGTATCATTTTTTCTCCCTTATATTTTTTTCGATAAATGGAAAAAACTGGCGATTATTCATACAATTTTTGTTGATTTCTAGGTGACCTTTTGATAAAAACGGAACAAATACGACTTGTAATGCTCTAATCGTCGTTACTAATAGTCTATCATTGTTTCGTACGGATATAAATAAATAATAATATCCGGCCAGCAATTATTTTCCGATCGAAAATTGTATTGAGGACTTTTTTAATAGCGAAATTTTGTCTGTACATATTGATGAATTGTTTTATTTTTTAATTTTCGCGGAGTTTTCTGAACTACGGCGGTAAAAATCGTCGGACAAATGGGGTTTCAGTTCTCTTCGATTTCGGGCATTTGTAATTCTAAGGCGTAAGAACAATCGTGATCGTCATGAATATTATAACCGTCTCGTGTACAACCCGAAATTACTAAAAGACAACGATAATAACGAATGATCCTTCAGCGGTTGTGCGTATACTACTTTCTGCCTATTTATACGCATTACTATATTACGCAACGGTTTTTTAAAACGGTTGTATTCGAGCATTGTAATATTATAATACATAAGTATTGCAGATGAAATTAGAAAGGCAAGTGATATACGCCAACGCGCTTAATATTAATCGATGCCGTATTAACAAAAAAAAAATTATTTAAAAATGTCGGCCTTCATAAATAATACGTAATATCATTGTTGTATTCGGAGTCGCATTAAAAAAAAAAAAAAAAAAACGGATAAAAACGAGTTCAAATATACAATTCGGAATATATTACCTACCGCGTATATGCAATATGCATATACTTTATAGCGAATGATGTTTTTTAGGAGGTTTTTCGGTCCTATACATACGCGCCCCGAAACGACAAAAATGCGCTCGCGATAATATTTGACGGAATATTTTAACGCGAGCGAAATCCGAAAGAGGAAAAAAAATAGCCAGGTACCTAAAAATATTATACGTAAGCAAGCAATACATTTTCCATATACGCACGTAGATAACTCCGAAATGACAGGCCGCCGTCGTCGTTGTATGCAGCTGCGTGCAATTTTTCCTCCCGTTTCAGAACCGGAGTCGGAGATAGGTGGGCAGGCGGGCAGGTGGGTAGGTATACGTGATTTTCGAATGCGTGGTGTGTCCAAAATCCTGCGCGGGCACACGCGATTTGAATATAAATGTCGCGCATGTATAATACGTGTACGCGCGTTTGGCCGATTTATATATATTTTAAAACGCACGAATGTTCGCACAGTGTAATAAAATTATAGCGTCTAATACATTATTATTTTTCTATTAAGGCGCGTTATCAAAAATAACAAAAAAAAAAGGTTAAAAAAAAAAAACACACACACACAGCAATCACAATCAACCGAGAGCAGAGCGGAGTCGCCACCATCGACGGATGGCGACGTATCTCCGCTACGCGGCCGCCAATTCGTAATTGTTCGTAAACGGCGTGATTATGTAATTTGATACACGGCAATTGCCGCGTTTATCCGTAACGTCAATTGATTTACCGGGGCGATGCCGGGTCGGCCGTGTAGAACGGGAAAACGCGACATTTTAAAACACGAATTTCTCGTTCCCGTAATGTTCCGAAGCGTCGGAAATTCAAACCGAATGTTGGTAAATTTACCTATATAATGTATTTACGGTTGAATTTCGAGTTTTCTTCCGACAACCGCAGACGGATTTAATCGAATATCGAATAGAAAACAATCGTTAAAACGGCCATGGTGGCCACAATGGCGATCTACTTGCCGATATTTCCCGGCCTGTACGTTACGTTTCATGTATCTTATTAAATTATCATAACATTACGTATCGGAACACGGTATTAAATGGTAAAACGCGTTAAGGTGGACAAATTATTTTCGTTTTTAACCGATTCGGTTTTAGGAATTTGACGAATTCTGGTTTTTTTTTTTTTTTCTTAAAGAGGCTACATATTCCGAGTGAATAATATTCGAATCGTGTGACCGTAACAGATTTTCGTTTTGCATTTTTCGTTATATTTCCATTTTTTTATTTATTTATTATTATTATTATTATTTTTTTTTTTTTTTTCAAGAGCATTAGTATCGGACTAATTTCGGATTTCGATTCAGAATACACATCGATTACCTGAAAAACCGCGCGCATTTTCCCCACGTTTATTACATTTGCATTTATTTAAATATTTCAAACGTTTGGTTTACCACGCCTGTACTCGTACACAAATTTATATATATATATATAAGTATTGATCGCAAAACATTTATTCGTTGTCGACGGAGTATAATGCATAGGACAATAGGACACCTATACTGTAGACATAATAATAGTAGGTACAGATCAAAGAATCTATTTTTTTTTTTTTTTTTTTTTTTTTTGTCCGGGTACACTATTGAGTCACGCGATGTCTTTGTGAAAACGGAAGAAATATCGAATAAATTTGATACTGAAACAGGGTTACGGCCAGCCACGTAAGTAGGTATTACTGTGCAGCAGCAGAGCCGGTTTATAACCCGTTTTGGTGGTTTTTTTTTTTTTTTGTTTTTTTATCTAATTGTTTCGGCTATTCTCTGTTTGTCCGACGGCGTCACTATACGTGTATACCGTTGTACACGGTGAATCGGAAACGAAAAGATCGGCCCGTCGGCCGGCCAATACGCTACGTATATACGCCCGAATAGACAGTCCGACGGAACGCGCGCGTTTAAAACGCATTTTTAACCTTTTCCGGCCTCTCCCCCCCCCCCCCCCCCCCCCCCCCCCCCCCTCGCACCCCTCCCATCCGACCTCGGTGTGTGTATACAAGACACAGATCCGCGAAAACACAATCGCCGGAAACTCGGTGGAAAAACACGCGCGCGCGCACCGCTCCCGGGTAAAATGCGTATTTATTTGTTCGTCGTCGCACAAACGGCGGCGGTTTCGAAAACGGTGCGCGCCGCGGCCGTTCGCAGTCGAATGGGCTTACGGGTTGATGTTTGTGTACGCGCACGGCCCGCACCCGCGCGCAATACTAATTGGTCGATTTAGCGGGTCTCCATTTTCGACGGTTTCTAATTTGTCTGGACAACGGACCGAAATCCCGGCGGAGGCGTAGGCCGCGCCGCGACGACCGCGCCGCGGTAACCGTGAAAAAACGTCTGCGCTCTGTTACATTACGCGTTTGCCCGGAGACCGCGAAAACTCCGGGGGAGGGGGAACAAATCGAAAATAACAGTTGGACCCACTACGCCGGTTCGTTTTTCTCGTTTTCGAAAACAATTAATGGATAACGCGATGGAAATCCGTTGAAATCGTCCAACGCTACACCGCCCGTGCACAGTATTACAATAACATTATATACGATGCCGGTCGAAATCGGTTATCGGTACTATAATATAATACGTTGTCGCGTCGAAATTCACGGCGTAAATACAATGTTTCATTGATTTTAGTCGGTATACAATTTGCGCTCTTGGCATAATAAGACCGCCGACTTCGTATACCTCTTATAGGAGTCTACATCTTACAATCGGCCAACAATAATTCGTACAGTGTATATCTGTGTTGCAGTTGCATTTCACGCCTAACATAGAAATCCCACTGTGATAAAGCCCACTGTCAGACGAACACTTTTTGACACTTTTAATATTTCCAAACCTAGCATCATTTTTGGTCCCTGGGAAGAAGGGCCCAATGCAATATTTGGTTTTTGTTTTAATTATTTTGTCTTGTGTAATTTTTTTTTTTTTTAAATAACATACGCCTTGGTCCGACCTTTTTTTTTTTTTTTTAATTAATAATAAGACCGTTTTCTTTTGGGGCAATGTTTGTTTGCCAAACCGAACACTTCATTGCAGAAATAATGACCTAGGCTGAGTCGCTAACCAAAATTTTGGACATAACATGGGCTGCGTTTTCAATTATTGGGGCTTCTTAAATGTAATTCGCTTGGTTACATTTTTAGGACTTCGACGCCACTGCATATGTGTATATATTTTCAATAAAAGTGCATTGTATGTACGTGGTGTATTATCGTAACAAATTTATGTATTTTAAAAATTTAATTTTTTTGAATTAAAAACTGTACAAGATTGACTTTAACTGTTCTTCCTGAGACCCCAAAAATAAATGTATAGTCGTAATTAAATACGATCGGTATGCACAAGATTAAATTTTCGGGAGGATTTTTAAATTAAATCATCTACTGTTTTAACTACGAAAACAACAAGCATTAATTCTTGAAAATTATGAACAATGCTTTTTGAAAAATTTCGGGACCGGAAGGGGGAGGTTGACCCCGCTCAGATACAGCTTTGATTATGCACGATAAAATATTTTATTTTATAAGACAGTGCGTCGTTATAATTGTACATAATATCTCTGTTCTTGCGCTTATGAATTCAAAGTTGAGAAACGGAAACAATAACATTAATAATATTCGAGCGCAAAATATTATTGTTGCTAGAAAACATAATAACGTTGCAGCGTTAAAGAATCTCAAAATTATACTTATACATTTTAGTTTAGTTGTTACCGTACGTCAATAACTATTACGACGAGCTTCAACAGTTACGTATATGTTGTACAGGTATGTTCAGTTAAAAACTAAGAGGAATTTATTGCAATAAATATTATTATTTCGCTATGTATGATTTAGTACTCGGAAATGCTCGGATATTGTTAGTATTTCTGAACTGTAAACGTGAGACCCGATTATTTGCCTCGAGAATTCGCAGTGTACAAACCGCTCGATGTGAATGGTCATTTTTAGTACGATGTATTAAAATCGAAAATACATCCGAGTGAAGATGAAACAGACCGTTGCAGAAACACTCTGTGTATACAAGATGTCTCTTTTTCTACATGCCTAATATTGCGAATGACTTTAGGTACCGCGTAATAATATACAATTATTTGAATGATATTGAAAATATAAATAATATTTTACTCAGTGTCCTACAAAAATAAATGGTATCTAAATAAATAACAATATATACGTATATGGACAATATCACATATTATACAATGGGCTCACGTATTGGCTTTTATACAGGCTTTATTTATTTTATTTTTTTTATAGGAGTTCCTTCGACGTTGAATTACATACCGTTGGACGTGAGCTCGACTCAATCGCCGAAATTGACTCCATACCCGAACTGGGCGTACAACAGAGAAGGTAACTGCGATGGATTGACGACCACGTACAGAGTGAAGGCCGACAGTTGCGGCAGACTTTGGGTTTTGGACTCCGGAACCGTTGGTATCGGTAAGTGTAAATATTCGGCCTTTTTTCGTGAAAATGTAATCGATATTCTTATAACTGCAGTGTTCGGTTTTTTGTATAAATTAATTTTTTGACGTTTTTTTTTCTCGTTTTACTTTTTTCCTTCGGCTATTCATATTATTGTACACTAATGAATTGCGGGGATGGTCGTTTGTCAGCCAAAGGTTTTCACCGTGGTCGTGCGATAGCGAAGTTGCCTTCTCCCAACCATCCACAGTCGCATTCAGGTCCGCGTTTATAGACTTTTACAGCGCGTATCGCCGAGATTAAGGTGTAAGGAACGTAAACGACTAAGCCGAAGGAAAACTGAAAGCAGTAGCCAAATATATCTAACCATATACCTGGCACGAATCATCGCCTATCATTCCACCTCACCCCCGCCCGTGTCTTCAGACAACAAAATCGGTGCTTGTTAATCAATCAAAAGGTGTGTGTGTGTATGTGTGTGTGTGTGTGTGTGTGTGTGATGTTTTTTATTCATAAATAATTGGATTGAACAATAATTTCACGGGATTCAACCTCGTACGATAGATTTTATAAACGGGATATTTACAAACACAGTTTTTTTTTCGAAAAAGAAAAGTGGTGTAGAGCAACATACTTGTGCGGCAATTTGAAATTATAAAAAAATATACATACATTTATTTTTTTTTTTTTAGTGTTATTTGTAGTTAAAAATATCTTGAAAATATTTACAGGAAACACCACCAAGCAAGTGTGCCCGTACGCCATCCATGTGTTCGACTTGGCTACCGACAAAGTATTGAGGAAATACACTCTGCGCCCGGAGGACACCAACGCCAACACTTTTATCGCTAACATCGCCATCGATATCGGATCCAAAGGTTGCGAGGACACGTTCTTGTACGCTTCGGACGAATTGGGCTATGGTCTGATATCGTACAGTTGGGAATTGAACACATCGTGGAGACATACCCACAGTTATTTGATGCCCGACCCGTTGGCCGGAGATTACAATATCGGAGGTAAATACACATTATCACGGCCTCAAAATATTATAATGTTGTTTTTTTTTTTACTTCAGAAATCAATAACTTTTTTGTTCATCGCATTTGCAGGTATAAACTTCCAATGGGGCGAAGAAGGAGTGTTCGGTATCACTCTGTCTCCGTTCACCGCCGACGGTTTCCGGCTGTTGTTCTTCCATCCGTTAGCTAGCAACCGCGAATTCGCCGTGTCCACGAAATTCTTACGTGACCCAAAGATCACATCCGAAGAAATCTATCATGACTTTGTCGTCTTGGAATCCAGAGGCCCCGGTGGTCACGTGACCGCTCATTACATGCACGAAGACGGCACGCTTTTCTTCAATTTGATCGACCGGAACGCGGTTGGCTGTTGGAATTCTCGACTTCCGTACGAACCGAAATACTTGGGCATCATCGATTCCGACGACGAAGCCATGATCTTCCCCAGTGACGTCAAAGTCGACGCTCTGAACAATCTGTGGGTGATTTCCGACCGGATGCCCATTCATCTGTTGTCCAAACTGAACTTCAACGACATCAACTTCCGCATATTCTTCGCGCCCTTGGAAACCGCTCTGGCCGGTACGGTTTGCGCGAACGACTACAGTTACCACAGTTACAATCACGTGAAAGATCGATCGTGGAACAAACATCACGCCAAAAACGCGTACTATCATTGAGTATTAACGATGACCGAAGAATAGTAATCCTTAAAACGTCCAACATCGCGTATTTTTCGCAAACAAATACGATAAAAATTTCCGATTTCCATTGTAATATATTATTATAGTATTCTTACACGAGTACATATTCTATTCGTATTTTGTATTATGTACATTATCAACATGTTAATAATTTTTATCTAACGCACGATCGCATTGAAACTCGATTAACACTGTACAGCACTTGTTTTATAGTAATATTAATAACATTTAGTTTTAGATCAGGAATATTTATTTGCACCGTAAGATATTTGACAAATCGCCAAGTCTTCGTAATCTACATGTATCGCCTGACATAATATTATAAAAAATAATCATAATCTCTTTTTAACCTGATCCAATATATGTACATCGAATTAATGTAATATGTAAATAATTATTATATGTCACAGTTACCATGTTTTTTAAAATGTATTTTGTTAGATAATATATTACCTAATATTTAGAATATATTATACTCATAATAATTTTGTACGTGGATCTTTATGTGAACATAATATTATGTATTGTTTATGATTTTTATTTTTTCGATAGTTTACAAACAACGTGTCATTGATTTACGTGTATAAATCAATTTTTTGTTTATTAAATAATAATTTATTTTAAAAGTACCATATATGCTATACATATTTTTATAATATACTGCTTTTATGACAATATCTTGGTTTTTTTTTTTTTTTCATCATGATATAACATATAGGAAAATAATAAAACCAAATTGTTAGGTAACCGAGTTTCCTCAATGACCCACAACTGAAATCTCGTATACTAGAAATTCAGTTGCACGTCGACCATTCCGAACTCTTGTAACCGATTTTCGATTTTTAGAGGACACGTGTCGCACCATTAACCTTGTTAAATCATAATACCTAATATACTCAAAACTTTTAATTCGGTTGACCTACAAAAGTTATACTCATTGAAAAACATTAATACCATTATAAATTTCGTTTCTTCTGATTTTGTAAGCAGCTGTTTATAACATTCAAATAATCGACTGTAGAAAATATATTATGAAATCCGTTGAAAAGTCGGAAACATTGTTAATTTAATGTTTTATTATCGTTAAACAATTAGGTGTTTATAAAAATGTTCAATTTAAATTTATATAGGATAAAAATTATAAAACGTGCTCCGGTCGTGTTAATTTACTTTTTTTATAACAATTTATCTCTACATTCAGAATTTAAACTAAATTGCCCTAATATTATATATTTGGTTTTTAATTTTTGAAAATTTTAAACACAAAACACTTAAATTATATAGTACAAAAAGTTATTAATAACTTATTATACAAACTATTATAAATAATAATTCTGTATTAATAATATGTTAAAGATTTTAAAAACGTATACCTAATGTTCAGAAAAAAATTCAAAATATAATGTCGATTTTTTTTTACGAATATTTGTAACTTGAAAACAAAAATTTTAAACAATTTATTGGACTGCAAATGTATAGAAATTTGAGAACTGAGTAATGTGACTTGCAGTGTTTGCTTTCCTGCAGACTCTTTACCTCGTCCGAGTTCTTAAGTGTACTATATTGTAACAGGTCACGCCCACGTCTCGCACACTCGTATAGCAGTTTAAAATTGATTTCCGTATTTCCCGCTGTAGGTATCTCATGCAGCGATTTTCCGACAGATTACATAAAATTATTATGTCGAAAAGGGCGTTTCAAATTCCTTCAATTCGAAAAGAATCCCGTGCATCTTTGAAAACTCGTTTTGCAGATACATTACTGTTGTTACAGCTTAGTTAATTTTTAGCTCTTTTTAGATTCTGAGTGTAACGAATTATATATTGGTTTACTAAGATGTTTATTTATTTTTTATTTTCTTATACTGCATATAAAAATTCTATCAGAAATTGTCTTGATCCGATATATACGCGCGGCATCATTTTTGAAAGGCTTTTAGAAGATCATTTTTTGATTTTCCTAGCCGTTTTCATAATATATAGGTAAACCCAGGATAAAATGTAAGAAAAACGGGAAATGTATGAAAATAAAGCTTTTATTATTTTTAATTTTGTTATTTGTTGTAATTCAGTTAAAAATATTCGTAGAGACTTTAAATTTAGACATAAAACTTATATTTGCCTTTTCTAGACATGGCAAAATTTTTCAAAAAATTTAAGCCATTTTTGTGCTATATACAGACATTTTTATTTTGCGAGTTTTGTACGTAATTTTTATTCGGTAGGTACTTTGTGGTAAAATTTTTTGACGACTTAACAGAAATTCTTGAAAATTTAATAAGAGATTCATTAAGAGTTTAACATTGTAAAGGAATTTTAATATCAAATTTTGACGAAAATCGTTTGAGTAAAAAAATATGTGTAACAAATCTAATTTTCATATTTTTTTTTTTTGAACATATATATATTCAGATAATATTTAGTGTCTAATTATTTATTATGATATGACAACATATTGTTGATAAAGCATCACTATCAACTGAAATGTGCTTAGAATCGTTTTTTTCTTTAGCAATGATTTTTGTCACTTACAGGTATACATTAAATTACTTATAACAGTGGCTGCACCCATGTACATTATCTTAGGACGTCTTTTTTTTTTTTTTGTTAACGACGTTAACATTTTCCCCGACTTACTAAAGCCTTAAACTAAACCGGACGGAAAAGTTTACCTTAAATAAGGAGGTGGCCCATTCCGTATCCTCCCCGCGTTAACCGTCGGTGTTTACTTTTATTACGTTTAAAACCTTTTCATCTGTAGCTCTTTCGATCTTTGGGATTATCGGTATTTTTTTTGAAGCACCGCCTCATCTCGAAAACCTATACGGGGTTTACTATTTTCAACCGAGCTAATTTAAATTTATCGTTTTTAGTACACCGTCTCCGGTATCATGATCAAACTAATGCGGAAGTATAATATTTGATTCAAGTCGTGGTTTATACAACTGAATATAGTTTTTTTTTTTTTTTTCATATGCATATAAATTTAGTAAATCGTTAATAATATTATTTTATTGCGCCAACGCAGTCGTTTGCGCGAAAAACCAATTTAATTTTAAGATGTACAACGCGAGACCCGGTAAACTATATTATTTCGTATTGTTTATAATACGCGTGTTTTCACGAGTCTGAATTTCACTCGCGAGTGTACACGTACACCGGAAAAAAAAAAAAAATGGCAAACTATATAATTCCTCCACCCCCTCCCTTGTTCGTATTTTAACATTCGATCGGTGTCCAATACGTTTCGAAATATCTCGTTGAAAAAAATAATATTAATATTGAAACTTCGATGCCGCGGATGGATGTTATTTCTGCGGTATTGCATGTGTATATATATATACATGCATAATATAATTTCACTATGTAGGTGCATTTATATAGCCGCCGCGCCGGGATATAATGTTATTATTGTAATGTACGTATATGCGTTGATACGGCGATGTGTTGATTTAAAATATTGCGTTTTAAATTCTGTATAATAATAATGGCGATTAGCGGGACGATGACGGAAAATGGAATATCGCGGTGGCCAGCGCCCCCGTGTATAGGAAAAGGAAATATTATTCAACGCCGCCGCCGCCGCCGCCGCCGCCGCGAATCGGCCGGATACGGATAGTGGATACACACATATTATTGTGTATATATCGCGCGGTATCATTATATTTTCGGTGTCGGCGGGCGGCGAGGCGGCAGGCAAGGGTAGCGGCGTAGAAGCGTTTCCCACAGATTCGCATTCAATTTATACGATTTCGGGCGATAAATCACGATTATATACAACTGTACCGTATACCTATACACGTACACGTGTATATACCGCGGTTCGAAATGGTTTTAATGTTTTTCGTTTCCAAGCCATCACTACCGCTGTACAATACGATAATATTACAATAACACTCGTACGTTTAAAGTTTAAACTGTATATACGGTCCGGGGGAAACTCGGCTGTTTTGCCGTGTTAATCGACGAAATATCGCAGCGATTGCAGGTGTGAATCGCATTTTTTCGCGCTCCGGATAGCGTACACATAGTACCTATAATGTATATACACGCCCACGCTCCCGTAACGGATAATATGTTTATTGTCACGGAAATTACCGGCCAACGCCGAACTCACAACGTACTCCGAATTTCTTTTCTAGCGGTGTATTTGTTTATGGGTTTTATTGAAGGGGGAAATGTATGAAAACTAATTCGTTGTTAGGCAATTCGCGGTTTAATGCATACATATATATATACATATATATCATGATTATTATCGATGTAAACTATGCATAGCGTATTAAATATAGTATTATGTCACATTATCATATTTTATCGATGTCACTCGTTAACGAATTAGTAAAATAAATAATAATATTAATATATTATGTTGAAACCGGGTAATATTTGTTGTCTCCTTAACAAGAGAAACTTCAAGGGGATCTTATCTCCCCCATACGTCTCAGTTTATAGATATACTAAAATAAACGACAAATCATTATAATTATTAACAAACGATTTTTAGCATTATCACTAGTATAGTATTAGACTAATATTATACTACAACATGACCGGTTTACCGAGCTCCGATGAGAGTGCGCTATATCTTGAATACTATTAGAGAAAACGCTCACTACAGACTTTTAATCGGCCGATCGGTATCGTGCTCACAGTAAAACGTAGCTGCGAATAAATTATTGAGTTTGTTTTTGTTGCGCACGCTATTTAATGATAGTTTGATCGATTACCGTTTTTATCATCAATCTATTATTTTTACTATTGCTTAACTATTATGTCTGTTTGTTTTTTTGTTACTATTTTTGATTATAGTTATGAATTTGTAGTTTTTGTTTGACAATTAACCCACTATAATCACAAACAATAATGAACTTAAAAAAATGTATTTCCCATGTTTTCCCGTTTCCTCTAACGGTTTTTCAATCTCGAAGTAATGATCAAATTGTAACATTTTAACAAATAGTTAAACAATTGTTCATATCAATAGTAATAATATTTTAATATTATTTTTTAAAATAAAATCAGCACGTAAAATTTATAGGATATTATGATTTCTATCAAACACGTTATAATTGACTGGTGACCTGCGAATGCATTTCAACCAACTGTTTAGTTGGTAATATGTGCACCGATATAAAAAGCAATACTGACTAACCAGTCAGCAGATAGTTGTCCTTTTGATCAAAAGGGAATCGGGATGCTCTTTTGGTGTTTTAGATGGTATGTGTGCGCGCTGCCATGTAACCAAATGCCAATCACAAAACCAATCAATTTGTCGGCTTATTAAAAATCTGCAGTGCACTAAGTAATAATCTATAGTGAATGGCACCTGTCCGAAACATTATACGAACTGTCTTTGAAAACCAGACCGGTTACATATTAACATATTATACACAATGCACACGAAATAAAATATCACCCGACGTGATTTTGCATAATAAATCAGAGTTTATTATTTATTTCCATATGACATATTCGACTTTAGATAACGTGAGAAATGTTATAGATAAAGTTAGTAAAATTAAAACAAATAAATAAATATGATAATTAAGATAACTAGTCAACTAATTAAAAAAAAAAAAAAAATATATAAAATGTTAGTATGGTAGGTTATAGAAGGTATAGTAAATTATAATAACATCAATACTAATAACAATCGAAATCACAGACGACA